TGGGATCGAGCCCTGCATCGGGCTCTCTGCTCAGCAGTGAGCCTGCTTCCTCCTCTCTCTGCCTGCCTCTCTGCCTACTTGTGATCTCTCTCTCTCTCTCTCTCTCTCTCTCGGTCAAATAAATAAATAAAATCTTTTAAAAAAAAAAAGTTCCTTTTATTTTGCTTCTTTGTGTTGGGGGAAAGAAGGAAAACAACGAATGTCACGGAATCTCCGAACCCCTATTGCTGAGAGGATGCTGCCTCCTCTAAATCCTATTTCTTCTGGTTTTCAACAGCCGAGCAGGTGGAATATCTGGTCAACGAAAAGCACATCTACCTGCTGCCAAGTGGTCGGATCAACATGTGTGGCTTAACCACGAAAAATCTAGATTATGTGGCTACCTCCATCCATGAAGCGGTCACCAAAATCCAGTGAAGAAGCCGCACCCAAACCAGCACCACCAAAGCGGCCCTGTGTCCCGTGTGTTCCCTGCCTGCGCCAGCCTCGCTCTGTGTGTTGTGGATAAGACTCGGGAGGACTGGAACCGGCTCTGGTGAGGTGGCCTCTGGTCAAGGCGGCCCCGCACAGGGCAACATCCCTTGTCAAGGAACGGGGCCCTGGGGTCAGAGCCTCTTGGGAGGCCAGAGCAAATCAGGTTTTTATTTAAGAAGAATAAAAAGGTACTTTGATCATGAGATGTAGTTATCTTACTCCCTCACTAGAAGCCACAATGTTGCCTCTGTCGCTCCTGTGCTTCTGTGTATTGCTTGACTCTGCACAAAATCCTGCCCCAAAGATTAAGTTGTCTGAAGAGCCAGCTGTGATTCTGAGTGTTGGCTGTGTCATTAAAACTTGTCATCTCCACCCAGAGTGTCCGTCTCCTGCTCTTTCTCTGTGTCTGTGTCCCTAACCTTAAGCTTTAGCTCTCTGGGGCGAGCAAGGTAAGCGATAGCTTTACATCTCTCTCTCTCTCTCTCTCTCTCTGGGGCGAGCAAGGTAAGCGATAGCTTTACATCTTTCAATCTCTCTCTCTCTCTCTCTCTCTCTCACACACACACACACACACACACACACACAAACTGAAGCAGAAGTTTTACACAACAGTATTTACCCTTGCTGTGAGCAGTGTGTTCTGATAGTTTCTGTCCTATTGGGTTCTGTTTCACTGAAGAAATGAAAGTTGAATTGAGACCCATGGAATTGATTTTGTGATCCACTCATGGGATGCAAGCCATAGTCTAAAAAGAATGCTCTAGAGGAATTTGCTAGTTGCTTAAAAAGCTAGAAGGTGACAGTACCTTCAAGGGGCAAAAGAAGTCTGAGACCGTAAAGCGGGGTGTAGCCCTCCGCAGCATAAACCTGCCCCACAAAGTCTTGGTTCTTAGTATTTTATTTCTCTTGTTAGGGAGAATTTAATTTTTCTCTTGGGGAAGACTTTGGTGGAAAAAAAAATGGTTAAAAGCACTTCTTTAAACCAAAATGTCCCTACCAAAGTGCTAAAATACTTTTTTGTGTTTAAAAAAAAAAAAGCCCCAATCAAGGGTAATTGGGTCCTCCTTCTATCCTGACACATAGGCTGGTGTTCCCCCTTCGTGTTCTAGTCCCCTCTGTGCTCACGTGAAAAAGCGTTTTGTGTTGGGTTTGGGGAGAGCTGGGCTTTGGGAGTTGTCCGGATTTCTTCACCACAGTTGGTCTTCGTGGGGCCTCTCATACAGGTGCGCGCCGTGCACTCTGAGGAAAGACTGTCCCTTACATGGTCCGTCTCCTCAGACGGAGGGGTGCTTCCACCACCAGACTCTGCCACTTGCCATGTGACCTTGAGCAAGCCACTTAATCACTCAGAGCCTGTTTGAGAAACTGAACTTTGCAGGGCGGTTTTGAGACCGAAACAAGCAAACGTGTACCTAGCACAGTTCTCAGGCACAGAAAGCCCTCACCAAAACCGCTGCTGCTGGGTAGCAAACTGGAGGCTCCTGGGAGGAGTCCGTGGGTGTCCATAGGCCAACCATTGACCTTGACCTTGGTAGGGGTTTGAGAACCCCCTGGTAGGTATCAAATTCCAACCTACCTTCCACAAAGATTAGATGCCCAAACACACCTCAGCCTGCCTGGTTCTTGCCTCCCACTGGTATTGGTTGGCTTAACATTGACCCACATGCCTCACCCACTCCCCTGTGACTTTTCCAGCCTTTGGCTGGAAACCAAAGGAGTTGTGGCACTTTGATTCCTCTCCAAAGGGTCTGGGGAAGCGGGCAGTGCACCCAGCACATTGCTTCAGGGGCTGGCCCCTGAGACCTTGAACTTGGAAGGTACCCAGTCCAGTTCCTTTCCCATCACGTGGATTCAACAAATGCCAGCCCTTCTCGTTACTTTTTGTCCTCATTCACACTCTGGCTGCTCATTTGAGTTTTTCTTTTTTAATGCTGGCATTTGCTGCAGTAAAACCTTACCCATCTGGGGCCCAGAGTAGAACGTAAGGGCTTTACTGTAACTTTAACCAAAGCCTTACACCTAGCTTTGAGAACCTCACCTCTTCAGCAGGTGGGCCTCAGCTGAGATAATTCCCTGTGCTCCACCCGACCTTCATCTTCAATGTGAAACCACATCAAAACTGAGCTCTTCAAGGCGAGAAAAACATTCCAGGAAAAGCATTTTCATTTTATTTAAAAAACTATTTACAATTTATTAAGCCTTCATAAATGCTTTATTTTAAAATCCTCTTTTTTTTTAACCTGAAGAAAATCTCGGGGAATGGAGCAGGGAATGGGGAGGGGAGTGGTGACAGGCTCCTTTGGGGTTTTGCAAAGGTATGGATGTAACGCAGCAGCAGTGGCCTGAGCCCCGTGGCCTGAGGGGTAATGATTAGCCAGGCAGGCACTGTCCGGCCAGTGGCCAGCCGGGCCAGAAGACTGCATGATGATAGTTCTTGCTGGAAACTCAACTGTTGGCCGGTTTGGGTCTCAGGTGCCCAGCATGGAGGGGCTGACACTTGGCCTATTCCTATTAGGTAGGAGCAGGTGTTGGGGATGGGTGGCAGCTATGGGGTTCTCTAGGAGGTCATGCACTGCTGAGCCTCAGGGAGAGTCGGGCACGGGGCGGAGAAGTCAATCATCCATTGCAGGAAAGGGCATCTCCAGCTGGAAAGTCCTTCCACGTGCTGTGGCCCTCCCATCTGCAGCACCTGCTCTGGTTGGTGGGGAAGAGGGGACAAAATTACGTGGGGGTATGGTGACGGTACCCTGGGGTGTGCCAAGGCTTTCCAAAGACCTTCACTTCTTGGCAGGTGCTAACTTTCCCCATTGGTTCGATAAACACTGGAGAAGACGGCATGTCTCTCAAAGTCTGTCTCGGACTGGCCCTTATTCACTTCACTCTGCATTGCAGAAACTTTGGGGTGAAAGTTTCAGTAGTTAAAATAGTGGTTTTTAACCCTTTGTGGGTCTCAGACCTTTGAGAATCTCCTGAAAGCTTTAGCCCTCTGGACAAAACAGGTAAGAACACATACACTAAACTCTGACAGTATTAGGGGTTTCACAGACCCTCTGAAGTCCAATAATGGACCCACCTGGGGTGATTGACCCCCAAATTAAGAACCCCTGAGTTAAAGGTTCCTTTGGGTTAGCATTTTCTTTTGAGATGCAAATAACCCAGAGGAATTATCAGTCTCCCCCTCTCTCCTTGTGATTACTGATTGAATGGGTGTGGGGGGTATGACATTAAAGGTTTTGGGGGAAGGCGAGGTAAGCCTGGATGGTATATCCCAGGGAAAGATTTGAGAATGGTTTGGAGATTGAGCAGGCAGAATGGGATCACTGGATCCCTGATAGAGGGAACTCAAGAGATGGGAGATAGAAAGGGAGACAGGTGTCCCAAAGACAACCTTCACTTACTCCCACATACTCCTGAAGGTTTGTTGGCGGTGTGGTTAGTGAGCTGAATTTTAGTATTGAAGTAGGTATGGCGTCATTCTGCCATCTGGTGGCCATACTTGGAATTGCATCTGCTCTGACATCCAGGTGAAAAAAAGATCTAGTAAATTCTTGGAATAAAGTACCCTTAGCTGACCTGCTGGGGTGGAGGAGTAAGGGGTGGGGTGGAGTGGAGGGAGCGGATGAAAAAGAAGAGCAATTCTTCAGTGTTCCCATGTAATGCACACTGAAGTCCCATGAGAGCTGGCATCCTTGGCTGACCTGGGCACTCTTTGGTTTGTCATGGCTAAACTTGCTTCAACAGCTTAGAAATTTTCTACGTAAGTTTCTGTTTGTTTGCTTTGATTTCAACTTAAAACCTGAAGTTCCATCTCTGGCTCCCAGTCCGGTCTCTGTTCTCTGCTCCTCCTCTTCCAGAGCAGGTTTACGACTGGATGGAGAACTGCTAATTGGGAGCCAAAAAGATACGTCCCTGGGAAAAAACAGTGACTTGAGGTTCCATCTCACGGTCTTTCCATTCCAGCCGAGACACACTTCCCTGGCTGCTAGAACCCTTATCTAACAGGAAACTGGTCACCGACAGTTTCCTGTTCTGTACCATCCCATGCCAACATAGCCGGGTCCCACTGCATTAAAGTCCTGGAGGAAATCTCGGGGCATCTCCTGCACTGACCTTCACACCTGCTTCTCCACTGTCTCCGTGCCTGTCCGCCGGCGGCACCTTCTGAGCTGAGCAAAGCATGAAATATGGCATCAGGGATCCCAAAGAACAAAAAAGGAGTCAGGGGTCCCAGAGTGGCATTGTCAGCTTGGGGTCATTTCTCCTCCAGTCCCAGACTGTACTGTGGAAAAGACCATTTCTAGCATGTTCCACCAGAGGCATCTCCATCCGTCATGGCCACAGCAAGGCTCTGAGTCAAACTGGAGGCAACAAGGGGGAATCTGCCAAGCTGACAGCGAGGGGTGAGGAGGTGGTAAGGAAAGCAGAATGCTCTGTCACCTGTGGGAGGCCTCGGGAGACGCAGAAGATGGGAGGGTGGGTTCTCCCTCAACGCTGAATCTCACATTCCCAGCAAACACTCGGCCCCGTCATGTGATCAGGGGCATTAAATTGGAGTTTTCCTCAGAGGCTCTCTCTCCATCGGGTGACCTCTTCCGTTCTCGACCACCTGGAAAACAATTTGTAAGGGTCACCTTCTGGCCGGGAAGAGGCAGAAATGCAGACAAAGCCCTTGACAGTTTGGCAGGAAGTAATCTGCATGGAATCCCGGTGCAGGTATCAGCATAGGTACATCTGGAAGAATTAAGGCAACGCTTTCTACCTGAGATAACACCTCCAAAAAGCCAGGCTAGTATCAGTGGAATGGAGATTCTCCCCCGGAGGTTTGAGTGAAGCCCACGTAATGCTTCAGGATCATCTCTCCATCTGCTGAAGGCCCTGGCCCAGCTCACAGACACCTGAGAGAGGATTCGTCTTCCAGCCTATGATGTTCCAGGAGCCAGGGTTTTGGTGGGTGTAGCTGGGAGCCATGCCCACGCATCTACATTCTGTAGCTTGGAAACAACCCTCCTCCTGCAAAGGGGCAGGTGGGATAATCCCATAATTGTCCTCAAGGATGGAGGAGAAGTCCGTCCCCAGCTCTGCTGTTTTTAGGAAGGAGTATTTTTCACCTTGTTCTATCTGCTATCAACTTCCTTCCATGAAGGATATTGCTCTCCTTGCTACTAAGTCTCCTGGACACAAATTCTTTCTTTAAAGGATCAGACAGTAAATCTTAGAGGTTCTGCAGGCCATCTAGCCCCTGCTGCAACTGCTCAATGCCGCCGTTATGACCATAGATAACAAATGGGTCTAGCATCCAATAAGTCTTGATTTATAGGACTCTCTGCTTCACAGGCAGGAGAGGGAGGTCAGGATTTGGCCATGACCATGGCTTGCAGACCCCAGTCCTAGATGACCACCAGCTAAATGGGACACATCCCCAAACTCTCAAGGGCACAGTACTGGTCCAAGCCCAGTTAACGGATTTTCATGGGTGTACTCATCAGGTTCCTGCAAGGAGTCAACGGTTCCTCCTCCAGGAGTGATGTCCTAACATGCTTTTTCTAGTGACCAGGTGGTGGGAGTCCTTCATCTGGGCAAAGAGCTACTCACTCAAGGTTCTCAGCAGCTTCTTGCCCACGGTTTCCTCAAAGTCGCTACTGCAGGGGCTTGTCTCTGTGTCCAGGTTGATATTACAGCATTCACTGTCTGACGCTGAGAGAAAGGAGAGAAGAAAGAACTCAGGTCTTCCCAACACCCAGGGAGCTAGGAAGGGTGACTCTGGCTGATGCTTCTCAACAGGTAGCAGTTCAAAACCAGAGGCAAGGCCGTGGTGGCCGTGACAGGGAGGGGTGCCCAGGGAGCCGTGGGCTTTTGTTAGTCAGCAAGGGGCACTTTAGGGCCACAAAAGGAACAAAGATTCCAGGAGCGAGAATCCAACTATCCAAACGTTCTTTGGCAGGAGAGGGGAGACGAGGACAAGATGGTCTCTGTTCAGTATCTTTGCCAGACCCAAAGCATATTTGAGGACTCTGGAGGTGGGGTATCACCTTCTAATACTTGCTCAGACCTGGGAGATCATGGGACTCAATAATAATTAAGCACACGTCTCTAACACCTCCCACTGAACCCAGTGGGGGTTCAGAGGCACAGAATCTCAAAGCTAGGAAGAGGCCCAGGCCCTTAATTCCCATGAGGTAAGGACCTGACCTGGGAGGCAGAGTGGGGTGGTGAACACTTCTGGGGGTGCTTGCTTCAATGCAGTGTTATAGACCAGACCAGTCCCTTCTCTGGGCCTCACAGTCCTCACATGAGGTCCCTATATCACACAAGGTGATGGACTAGACGAACTCCAAAGACTATCTTCTCCATTCTTTTGCCTTTGATACAATTTCTTGCTACATGCTTTAGCTACTAAATTCAGTGTGCAAGGAAGAAAAAGAATATCCGTTCTGTATTCAGGTCTCGGAACGGTGACTCTGTATGTCCCAGATACTCTGAATTAGCCACAAGTTCAAATATATTGGCTTACTGACCACAAAAATGGAGAGCACTTGTCGGATCATTGCCCTGGACTTGAGGGGTCTCAGACTATGGACTGGAGCAGGTCTCGGAGGCCTGGTGGGGTAACTGCTGCCCTACGGGGACGGGTTGGGGGGAGCACAGGCGGGGGGCAGGTTTGGAGAAGTAGATCTCGGCAAGGCAGGTACAAGAGGATCTCAGGACTGGTGGGTCGCTGGGAGCTCGGAGCAACACCACCGCCAAGATGGAAGTGTTCAAAGTCTCAGAGGGAGGAGATAGGATCTCGGCGCTCAGGACAAGTCCTACAGATGACCTCCGGCCCAAAGCAAGGGAAGAGCCCTGTCAGTAGGAGGAACAGCTGACTTCAATCTCCTCGTGTGTAAGGCAGGTCTAATAAGAACTTCCTACTATGCCCAGAGCCTGGTACCAAGCACTGTGAGATGCCCTCTGTATTTGCTATCTCATTTATGCCCAAAGCTACTTGATGATCTGGCCACCGTGATTTATATCTCTTAACATAAGGAAGAAACTTACCTATTAAGATCAGTTCTTCCTGGGAGAATGGAGGGAGGGGCCTGAGCTCAGTGTGTGTGTGTGTGTGTGTGTGTGTGTGTGTGTTTCCCTTCCCTCGATCCCTGTGAGAGAAGGTGGGAAATATCACATGGGGGCTGGTGTCCCTCACCCGGCTCTCCCCGGGGCCATCCCAGTGCCCGACAATGAGGACCCTGATTTCCCTCCCTGACCTGCTGTCGTAGGAATGGCTGCAGAAGACAGTGAGAGCTGCTGTGTGCTCTGCTCCTCGAGGTCTGTCATTTCCTCCTGGGTGAAGGCCATCTCCTCCATCCTCAGGTACACAACCTCGCCGGGGCTTCTCAGCCCATCTGAGCGGCTGCCTGGGGAGGACAGCAAGTGTGTGACCAGTCTGCTCTGGAGAAGACCCGAGACTCCAGCTGGCCTTGGATGGCAGCTCTGGGCAGAGGTGAGGGAGGAAGGGGGAGCTGCGCTCAGCCTGGGCCAGCCCACCCACACGACTTACACGGCAGGCTGTTCCTGTTGCTCAGGAGGGTGATGGCAGGGTCATCCTTGGGGGTCTGGGGCGTACCCCGGGTCGTAGGGGCTTTGGTGGAGTCTCCGTCAGTGAAGGCCTCCATGTCAGGGGACTGGGGTGAGCTGTCCATGTGGCAGGCAGTGAGTGCATTCTGGTACTGCTGCCGTGTGATCTGGAGGAAAGAAGTAGAGTGGGAGGAAGCTCAAGAGGACGGGGCAGAGCCCTCTCTGGATGTGGTCAGCTTCTCCCAGCTCGGAAGCAGCTCTGCTAAGGGTGCGTTGGAACCCTTGGCCTCTGTGGTCTAGGATCCATGAACTGGGTCCTCTCTCAAGCCATACCAGCCTAGCAGTTGAGGGACAATGTGTCCCGCTCTCTTTTTTATTGGCTCTGGTCTCCTCAGTACACCTGGAAGAACTAAACCTTCTTCTCCTGAGACTCGGGAGAGGATGGAGGGTACCCTCAATTAGCACGGGAGCTGCCCACAGACAAGTTTTAAATGCATACAATTGCCAAGGGCCCCCATCCTGAGGATCAGTTGGGGACTATGGGAGGGACGTTCTGCCGCTGTGGGTCCTCCCGTCAGGAAGCTGGAGGCTGAGGCCCCAGAGCATGTGGGCATTTCTGATTTGGACTTGGGCCACGGCCGGATGTGGGCTCCTGCTCCTGTGTGGGAAAAGTGCACAGCAGAGGTCTCCCAGTTGCCTCCTCAGATCGCAGGAATCTTACTCGTGATTTTCCTGATGTATCGAGCCTCACCTACAAGTAGAAGCATCTAGACAGTCAGGCTTAGCCAGAGCAGAAGGGAGCTTCCAGAATTCCAGGCAGGAAAAGTATGGATCAAATGTCTTTTCTGGAATATGGAAAGGTTTATTGCTCATTCCTGTTCTCTGGGTGTATGTCTGCCTGATATCCTGGCTTCTGGTTTAAAAAAAAAAATGGGCTGCTTTCTGCACCACCCAATATGGAAACGTGATACCATTATTCAGTGAAAGGCCCTGGGTGAAAAGTGAAAATGGCCCATAGTGGTACTTACTTCCCATGTACTACAGCCCCTTCAGTGCTTTCCTTCTGTCTTCGCTGCGTTTAGCTAGACAACTGGCAAAACTACAAACTGTTCATAGTCCTCCTCTTTCCTTTAGGGGCAGGATTGGGATTACATGTGGGAACAGGAAGGGTGTGCAGCTGGAAACAGGAGAGGGAATGGTTAAGATTTCCACTTGGAACAGAGGTTGCTAGAAGCTGGATTGGTATCTGGCAAGAGCTCTTCCGACATCGGCCCCTCGCCAACTGCTCACTCCTCAGCACCTTCTCCCAGGCCCCCCTTTCCCCAGTGGCTGGAATGCGCCCCATGCCTGGCCTCCCTGGGGGCTGTGGGTGATGGTCGAACCCAAGGCCAAGAGTCAAGCCTAGACCGCTCTTTCCTCACACTCTGGGTTGACTCTTCCTCACCTGGGGCTCATCCCACTTCTGCCTTCCTCACACACCGGCTTTCCTCCTTTCTTTGCTGCATGGGTGGGTGCTCTGGTCATTTTTATTGAATAGATGAGTTAATTTGTCCTGCTTTATTATCTTCTGATGTTCTTCCTACACTTTCTAGATCCTATGGTCTTCCAATTCCTCCAGAATGTTTTAAAATTATTTAGTGCTCATCCCGAATGTTTGATAACCATCTTCACTGAAATACCTCCACGACCGTTTAGGCAATGAGCGTTTCCTCTTCATAAAGAGAAATGTTCTATTTTCCCTCAAGTTGGGGACGCACTACTCTGTTGGACATTATCCATCTTTTCTTCTCTAACAGACTTCGGGATATCTTGCGTGCAGATCAAGCAAATTCCAAGCACAACTAATAGAACTGCAAAACACCTATTAAGAATGTGTGTCTTTTGTGATTCTTATGGGACACACACATGCAGAGATCCTAAGCTTCTAGCCATACTGTTGTCCATTAGAGGGGACAGACAGAGTTCTCTTGATGGTTTAAAACCGTGACTCTCTCTCGGGATCGAGTCCCGCATCGGGTTCCCAGCTCCACAGGGAGTCTGCTTCTCTCTCTGACCTTCTCCTCGCTCATGCTCTCTCTCACTGTCTCTCAAATAAATAAATAAAAATCTTAAAAAAAAACAAAACAAAAACGTGACTCTCAAATTTCAGCATCAAGATCACCTGGAGGGCTTGTTAAAGCAAGATTGTTGGGCCCCACTGCCCACATTTCTAATGCACGCGGTCTGGGGTGGTGCCCAGGGTGGGCATTTCGAACAAGTTCCCAGGTGATGCTGATGCGGCTGCTTTAAAGACCACACTCTGAGAACCACTGACTTAAGACCTGGTTAAAATCAGACAGAGTCCTTCTCAGGTTTTTGCTTTTCTCCCTTTAAAGGAGTCAAACGGATAAAGTGGCAAAGCGTTAACGGGCATTGATATTTTTCAGGTCAAAGGGATATGTTCTGTGTATTAAGGCATGTAACAACTGGGGTCTCCACTTAGCATCTAAAGTCTTCAGTAGATTCAGTGGGATTGCCGACTTTTGCAGCCCCCTCTGTTGGGAAGTGAGAGGAGAAGTCAGACTCTGAAATTTCCCCAGGAGATGTCAACTCTGAGCCTACCCTCAGTCTTAAACCTTATCTTGAGTCAATCACAGAGACCATCAGGCATGTATTAGGGATTTCACCACCAACGGTCTGTCATGCAGCCCACGCTGATGGTCCAGGGACTTGCAGTGCTGCAGAGAAAGGATCAAAGTGACATGCTAATTATTCATGCCTCCTGCGACAGTGCTTCTCAACCTTGGTAGCACATTAGAACCACTTGGGAAGCTTTGAAATATCCTGAAACTCAGGCAACACCCTTAAGCAATTATATCCAAATCTCTTGAGAGTGGGACACAGACATCAGGATCACTTCAAGCTCCCCAGTGATCCCAGTGTGCACCATGGGTGAGAATCACAGCTCTGGACTCTTGGAAATGCCCCCTGTAATCAATTATTATCTTGGCTCCCCTTGATAATTGCCTTCACTGATGTTCAACTTTCCTACTGGACCCCCAGCTTGCACAGAGGCCTGAAATAAGAAACCTCCATATGAAGAACAGAAACTCTGGCAAAACTACAGATGAAGCCAATATGTATTACTTTCTGATGCCTTCCATAGTTCTATAGAAATCTGTCGTATAAACCCTTCAAGAAATTACTGCCAGGAAAAAGCTCCTTTCTATTAAAAAAAAAAAACACAAAACAACCCTCCTTTCTATAGATAAATGACGTACTTCCTTACATCACACGAGAATCCAAATATCCCACTAGGTTTGCCCTCTTTGCTTTTATGACCAGGAAGCTCACAGATAAACTTATTATTTACTGAGAGTAACAAATTCACACCTGATAGCTTTTTCATCAAATTGCTTTGCAATTTTTTCTCATTTTATTTTTTTAAAAAATATTTTATTTATTTGTTTGACAGAGATCACAAGTAGGCAGAGAGGCAGGCAGAGAGAGAGGAGGAAGCAGGCTCCCCGCCGAGCAGAGAGCCCCATGCGGGGCTCGATCCCAGGACCCCGGGACCACGACCTGAGCCGAAGGCAGAGGCTTTAACCCACTGAGCCATTCAGGCGCCCCGTCTCATTTTCTTATTTAAAGCATCATTGGGTTAATTTTTTGGGGGGAATCATATACATTGCTGGGAGTTCTATAAATATCCTACAGAATAGGACTGATACTAGGTGTTCAGATGTTGGTGGAAACCCTAGCGCTATGTTACCCATAAGAGCTTACTTTTGCAGGGAGAGGTTGGGATATGAGGATGGAACCTTCCATCCATAGAGTGTATTATGGCCTACAGAGCACTGGGATTTGTGTTATCTCCTTTGCTGTCATAGTGTGTGAGAGCGCTTGTGATCCTCAGTGTGCAGATCAGAAAATGAGGTCCCGAAATGTTGAGGGATTGTCTAAAGTTGGACAGTTAGCAAGCTTTCAGAATCCCAGCCAGTGCACTGTCTCCTAGGCTGTGCACTGTGCCTGGGAAAGTGCTGGTCACTCTTTGGAGCCAGGGAGATGGAAGGGGAAGTGAGACGGGGGAATTCCAGAGGGGGCAACCCTGGAGTCTCATAATGGTACCCCTGCAACCTAGATACTGGGATTTAAAGGACTTTGTTCTTGCTCCCCAGGGACAACCATCTCAGCCTGGGCTCTGGACACTGTGTGGCTGACCCTGGCAACACGAGGCTGTCCTTTTGGGCAAGTGTTCCAGTAACTGCTTTGTAGGCTTGGGGTCTACAGGAATCTGACAACTGAAAGGAAGCTGGCACATGGCCTGAACCAGTGTTGCTATCAAACCCAATTCTCTAACGTGCGCAGAGCCTTCCCCTAGGTGAAACTTTCTTTGGGATCTTGTAGCTTCTCCTGGCTTAAAGGACAGAAAATTTTCCTAAATGAACCCTGCTCAGCTCAACAAAGGACTTGATGTTACTCTTTTTGGGTCAACCAGTTAGTTTAGATTTTCTTCTAGTTTCGTCCCAGTTTCACCACTTTCAAGCTGGGCAACCTTGGCCAAATCATTAACTTCTCTGAGCCCAGAACAGAGGCCCAGAGATTATGAGATAACATCAGTGAACCTGTCATCCAGCTGTTAGAAATGACTGTTTTCAACACGTCCACATACATCTCTCACAAGTTAACTTTATAATGGGCATACACTTCAAAGAAAGGGGTCAAACCTACCATCTCATTATGTCTAAATGGTGGATGGCACATCATGAGGTAGGTGGGGGCCAGGGCCATGGTCCCTCCGCCCCTGGAGAAGGAGTGAGTGGAGGGGCTGCCAAAGCAGGACGAGGTCTTAGGAAAGTAAATCCTTAACTAAGAAAATAAAGCAAAAGACAAAGTAGGGGAAGGAAGGAGATTCCAAGTGGGGACAATGAAAAGAGGAAGATAGAGAGAGGAGAGACAGTGAGTGAGGGAAGACAAGAGGGAGGGAGAAGGAAGGGGGTATGCTCTGGTTTGACTGAGATGGATTTGGGCATTCAGGGCTCCAATCAGCTGGTGCATTTGCTGTGGTCCCCAAGCCAGAAGCCTCTTGGGAGTGTTGCAAAGTGCTGTATTTAGTTTATTTTTGGAAAGGTTCTGTCCAGGCTGCATGTGCAGTGAGCCATACCATTCTCTCTTCGTTCTTTAGAAAAAGGGATGTCATCCTCCGGTAAGCTGGAATCGAGGATCCAGGAACTCTAACCCTCTTTAAGCATTGTTCTGGAGTAAGACAAGGAGCTGGGCATAAAGTATTGTTTCTGCATCCCTTTCTTACAAGGTACTGAGTTCCCTGACATGGAGGTATTCACACAGACATTAGATAACCACTAGTTGATGGTGTTATAGGGAAGATTCAGACGACCCCAGCTAGGACCCAATATCAGTGGGCAGAAGCATGGCTCTGGGGGTGAGGGTGGGGGTGGGCAGTTGCCCAGTTCAGGGGCAGGGGCAGAGGTTGGGAGAGGACCCACACTGTCAGTGGATGGTTGTGTTAAAGGAAAGGCACCATCCATGGGTTACCTTCTCTCTCTGTCTCACAGCTGTGTTTTCACAATGCTTCCTCTTTTTAAACTAAAAATAAAAAAATAAAATCATAAACTACTGCCCTGTCAACATGTCACCTTCAAAGAAATTGTTGACAAGGCACCACTCTAGAAAATGCATTCAGGAAACAACCTTTCCCCAGCTGCATTTCTAGATTCAAGCGTTCTCCCGCCCAACCCCTTCAGTTCTTCTTCTTCTTCTTCTTTTTTTTAAGTTTTAATTTTGCTTCAAGCATGACTTTTTGTCACTTTGGTTCTCCTGTTCAACCGTCTGAGAACGTCTTCCTCTCTGGCACAGTACGTCCAGCAGAAATAGAACGGGAGTCATATGGGTAGTCGAAAATTTTCTTGTAGTCACATTAAAAGTAATAAAAACTAATAGGTGAGGGGTGCCTGGGTGGCTCAGTGGGTTAAAGCCTCTGCCTTCAGCTCAGGTCATGATCCCGGGGTCCTGGGATCGAGCCCCGCATCGGGCTCTCTGCTCAGCAGGGAGCCTGCTTCCTCCTCTCTCTCTGCCTGCTTGTGATCTCTGCCTGTCAAATAAATAAATAAAATCTTAAAAAAAAAACTAATAGGTGAAATTAATGTTAATAATGTTGCATTTAACCCAACATATTAAAAAAAATTCACTTCAACATGGAATCAACATAAAATTATGAATGGGGAACCACACATTATTTTTTGTGTGTAAAGTCCTTGGAATCCAGCAGTATTTGATACCTATGGCTCATCGGTTTGGACAAGCCACGTTTTGTGTGCTCGGCAGCCGCCTGTGGCCGCTGGCTCCCAGGCGGGACAGCAAAGGTCCAGCAGATCAACCTGAACCTTTCTGCCCAGTTTTGAGAACATGGATTTGCGTGGCCAGTGGTGCTCCCATGGCCTGCACACAACCACGGGACCAGCTCAGCTGCTTCTTCACTGTCCCTTGAATGCACCTGCCTACTTGCCTTCCACATGCCTGTTTATCAGTGTCCCTCCTCCTATTCCTTCCTCACTCTTAAACGCCTGGTACGTTCTCCAGCAACATGGTGCTTGAAAGTATGTGCCATACGAATTCATAATCACTTGGGTCACTACAGCTTAACCTACATTTCTTCTCCCTAGCTAGATTTTAATCTCCTCATAAAGCAGAGGATAGGTTTATATTTCCTTAGAGTAGCCCGTAGTTTCTAGAACCATTAATAATGCTAATAAATACGTACCGACTCGTTCACTGAGGAAATCAAACCACTGCTCAAAAGGCAACATGTTTTTATTCTCTCTTTATCACTGTAGCTACAAGCATTTCTGAGCAATAGCTTGAGTTCAAATAGTCTTCTCTTACACGTGGCCAGTTAAGAACTCATGCAGCCACTAAATTACAAAGGAAATGGAGATCTGTTTATCTTGGGAATAACCAGAAGCAAGTGTGCCCTTCTGGACACGTTGACTTTGCAGCCAACGTGTTCAGAAGTTCACCTTCAACCAGGATGCTGTCTCTCCTATCATTTTATGACGTTCATCCCCCAAAACACCATCCTGCAATTTAGGGATTCTGCCACCAGATGGTGATGGGGCATCTTGGTCACAGTTACACAGTCAAGACCATAAGACAGCTGCCAAATAGTCTAATAATGATATTTACAAAACACAATTTTTAAAAATTCCTAAGGATGCTTTGGTGCCTCCATTCATAATTCATTAACTATGATTAATCACGGCTTCAATAGCTCTCCCGGATAAACATGAGATATACCTTTCTATCTAACTTGGTAACTAATCTGGAAGTCAAATTATTCCTGGACTTGATAATTGTTCTGGAACCTCAGTCTGTTGGACATGAAAAACCCTTGCAAAATCTTCCCGCAGCCCCTCACAGGGGCTTGGGCTGTGAGACCACCCCTCTCGCACAGTTCTTTATGCTGTGGTTACTTGTTTATCCTCTCTGGCCCCCTCCTAGCATGGAAGCTCTAGAAAGGCAAGAGCTTACGGTCTTGTTCACCACAGTCTCCTGTCAATGCTGAGACAAGCACAGGGCAGGCCTGCGGTCAGTACTGTTGAGCACTTACTCACACTGTAACTTTCAAGTTCTTTCCCCACAAACCATGTGACAAGGACTACAAACCAATGAGAGCTGACATAGTAAAGCTTCTCCGCTCCCATTTTTTCCTACCTCCACTGCTGAGGAAGGCCTGCAAAACAGGCTTCAGTTTTCTTTACCTTCCTTGTCATACAGGATTTGTTAAGTGTCTCCAGTCATATAGACCCATGGGTATTGCTGGGTTAGTTCCCAAAGTCACTTCTCCTTGGGGCTCCTTCAGCTCTGATTTCCCACAACTCTCCCTAAAACCTAGGGATTTGAGGGCTTGGACTCTGGAGACAGATACCCAACTCTGAAGCTTGGCTCTGCCACTCACCAGCCCTGGGGCCTCAGACTCCTCAAGCTCCAATGTCTTCATCTTTAAAATGGGAATGACAGTAGGACCTACCTCACAGGGCGGTGGTAACACTAAGTGGATCAATCAGACAAAGGAGCCATAGACCACATGCACAGCGTACCCCACAAACAGTTATCCCGCCCCACCCTCCAGGCTCAGCCCCTGCCTCTGGTAACTTTCCATCCTTACAGTTTTAGCTCAGGGTGTCTGCAAGGTTCTGGAACACAGAAAACCAGCCAGCGCACACTGCTATCAAATGATCAGAGCTTGTGTTCTGGACAGAAGAGAGGACCTCCTCCCACCTTTGTAACTGATACATCTCTCGTAATCCAGCCTGCAATTTACCAAGTGAACTCATTGGGTGTTTTGTTGGACTTGGAGAAACGGGTGTCACTCCTGATCTCCTGCCCAAGCATGTAATGGTTTGCAGAATGCTAGCAAACAAAACAAATAAAACAAAACCTATCAAAGCAAGCAAAGGAAGAAACTCTAGAAGGTTTCTGTGCAATCCCAATCCCAATGAGAAGTATGAAGAAAGAGCTCCCCTCCTCTTTAACTACACGGTGATAAGCATCGCTGCTTCTCTCTCCTGCCTGTGCCAAGTGATGCTCCACCAGCCCCCTGACAGCTAAGGGGAGGACAGTTACACAAACGGTTAGTGGTTAACCCACATGCCAAATTGCAATGGAGCAGTAAGATGCAGAAATACGCCATTGTAAGTCAAACCATAGCACAATTTCTTCTAGACACTTGGTTTATTAATCACCCGCAAATTTATCTTGAAAAAACAAAGCAACCTGGTGCCAATGGCAGGGTATCCAAAGGAAACAGTTCTGCTGGCAACTTGTCTCAGGCAAGCTAACTCCTTTTTGTTCTGTGCCTCAGTTTCCCCACCCATGAAATGGGGATCAGGAGATCATAAACAAATGACAAGTAATGAACAGTCATCAAGCTAACTGAAAACAGGGCCCTTATAAAGCCAGGGAACAATGAGCAGCCAGCGTTCTCTGGGAGCAGGGGGCATGGGGAGGCGCATCCCGGCCTGCTGGCTGGCTGGCTGGCTGGCTGGCACGGGGACATCCCCCGGGGGAGTTACCTTCACAAACTGCACGTCGCTCAGGATGTGCACTGAGTAGTCAGGAGTGTACAGGTTGTTGCTGCTGCCGCACAGCTGGGTGTTGCTGCCCCCAAAGTCACTGCGCTCGCGGTTTGGAGACTCGGAGCGGTTCAAGCCGCTGCAGCGAGAAGGGGACCGGTTTACTGCAGATGGTGGGGGAGAGGCCAGGGGACAAAAGGCAAGGACAGGTGGGCAGGGAGGAAAGAGAGGGGGATGGAAAGAGAGAGACGAGAGGAGAGAGAGAGAGGTGTTTACTGAGGGCCGGAGGGACTTCTGGGCAACGCTAACCCCCGGTGCTAGACCCAGGCCCGCACCCTTCGCAGCGGAGGCTCAGGGCTCGGCTCTGCTCAGGCCCCTCCAGCTCCCCATACCCTGCACCTGGGAGGAGCTGGGCAGAGGCAGTCCGCAGCCTCTCTCAGTTCAGGTCTTTGGACTAATGTCAGAGATGAGGACCATGCTGTGGGTGTGGGTATAGCTCCCCCTGAGCGAGAGACCCTCTGCCAGGATCTCAACTCTGCTCACAAGCCTCATTGTTCAGAAAGGCGAACGCCTTAGGTCTGAAGGCACAGACGACTGATGCTTGCGGTGGTGAGCATGTTAGCAGGGATTACTGAGGTCTGCCCTAACACTGGCAGGACCCTGGACAAGTGGAGGTCCACAAACTATATGGGTCCCGATTTGAGTCACATGAAGAAACTGTTAAAATTCGTTCCATCCTGGGGCGCCTGGGTGGCTCAGTGGGTTAAGCCGCTGCCTTCGGCTCAGGTCATGATCTCAGGGTCCTGGGATCGAGTCCCGCATCGGGCTCTCTGCTCAGCAGGGAGCCTGCTTCCCTCTCTCTCTCTCTCTGCCTGCCTCTCCGTCTACTTGTGATCTCTCTCTGTCAAATAAATAAATAAAAATCTTTAAAAAAAAATTCGTTCCATCCTTGTCCTTGACAATTATACTGGCATAACTTGGAAGGCAAGGTCCAACTCCTTAGAATTTCTGTTAAAGCGGAAAACATGAAACAGGGCTGTATGGGAACAAACAGCCCCTGCCCTAGGGGCTTCCCAGTCCTCTTCCCCCGGGGTGGCTTAGGGGAGGAATTCCAGGGTTCCCCCATCTGAAGTGTGGTCCAGAAGGCAGAACACAGACTCCAGCCCCGTGAGTTCCTCATCCCACAGAAAGGGATAGGACTGAGGAGGGCCAAAGTGGGGTCCTCTAAAGTGTGGGTCTAAGGCAGGACTCCATCTAGGCCTACATGGGGGCAGGGGATACTGGAATAATCCACAGGCATCCTACATGTTCCGAGTCAGGGTTGGTTGATTTGTTTTCCCGTTTTTAAGAACCTTCTAGGGAAACTTCAATTAAGACCACGGCACTTGGTTTCTAAACGGATTATGTGAACTACCTTCCCTGGATCAATAGAAGAGAGGTTCTTCAGGTGACCCGAGCATGATCTCAAGCACAGAATCAACCCGAGGGAGAGTGCCAGCCCATGTTTCCTTCCCCGAAGGGGGAGGGGCGTGCTGTGAGCCTCTCGGAACACAGACTGAGTTCAGGGGCTCCAGTGCGCGGAGTCTGGCTCCTCAGAAATTCCACTCCTGTGCTTTCAGGGAAAACTGCAGGAATTCAATCCTGTCTCAGGAGATAACGGTGCCATCAGTCAAGATAATTGATTAGCATCTATTTGGAGCGAGTCCTTGAGGGTTGATGGTGTGTTTAGCTGCAAGCTGTTACCGTTGTCTGGCAAACCAGGTAGTGGAAAGGGTAAAATAACAACAGGCAGCATCATTTTTCTCTTTAGAACCATAACAATCGCTGCCTTGATAGGATTATAGAATTAAGAATTCTAATTCCAGTGTCCTCGTCTTACAAAGTGCCCCTCACATATACTCCATTACTTACACCGGAAACCTGGGGGGTGCCCCCAGACCCTTGCTGCTCCCCCAGCCCTGTACCAGGCCCTCTCACCTCCACTGTGGACATAAGCCTGTTGGTCTCTATCTCTGTCCCCCCTCAAGTCCCAATTCCCTGGACCCCTAAACTCCTTGCTTTGTCCCCAAAAGTCCCCCATGACCTGACTCCTGCTTTCCTGTCTGGTCTCATCTTGAGGACTCTCTTCCCCTCCCCTGCTTGCTCTGCTGCCCTCAATCATGCAAGTGTTCCCCCACTACTTCAGAAGATGCCATTTCTCCTGCCCACCTCCCTCTACCTCCCCAGCTAGGATCTCGGTCATCAGGTCTCAGCTGAAGCTGAAAGCTACCCTCTCTGAAGACTTTGGCTGTCCTAAGATTTCCCTGTTTTCTTCTATCACTGTCCCTTGTTCATTCCTTCAATGTACTTTTCACAAGTTTTAATTCATTATGTGCTTGTACTTGTGACATCTACTCAATTCAATGCTAAATTCCACGAGGACAGAGGTCTTGTGTTTTCTGGTCATTGTGGTCCACTCAGTATCTAGCACTATGCCTGGCCTCAAGTAGGTGCTCAAGAAAAATGTAGAGAATGAATGAATCAAAACCTAAGCATCCCTTAAAGAGTTTTCATGTAAACCTAAATTTTGTTTAAAAAAAGATTTCAGAGCTCTCAAAGCATCCTGGATGGGAAGGCCTTGCCTTTGCAACTTACGAACATCCTGGGGAAGCTGACTTCTCCAAGAAATTAAGGGCAGAGAGAAGGACACTCCAACATTGTGGCTGGACAGAGTCAGAGAGTGTGCAGTGAGAATCAAGGGCACCAAGAGGCCTCAGGCTTTGGTCCAGTAACTTGAGGAGAGGCCACAGGGAAAACCAGGACTTTGTTTACCTAAAGCACGTGAAACTGGGGATCCTGGCCTCAGGTCTCTAGGGCCCTACTTCTCCACTGGGAGATGGAGGGCCAGACCCTCTTCCACAGTGACCAAGGACTGAAGCCAGTGACAGTGCCATGGACAACAGAGTGAAGCACCCAGGCGACTGTAAATGGCAGCAGTACTGGGCAGAAGAACATGCGTTTCACTTCTGGTTCTGGTCCCTTGAAAACAAGCTGGTGCGTTCTTGGCTTGGCTCGACCCTTTGTGGTCTTCTAGGCTGGTGACTGCCAAGTAAATCAATGGCACTTCCTCAGAGTAACTGCTGTGGAAAAGGGGGAAGGCAGTTCTGCTGGAGGGTGACTTCTTTGTCATGTGAGTGGAATCTGGAACACCATACCCTGACCTGGTGGGTCTTGTCCTCAGTGCAGTTTGGAACCATCGAAGGGAGTATAAGTAGGGCCTGGGAAATAATCATCTCTCCCCGACAACCCTCCAGGGTTTTGCCTGGTGGGACATGTGCTACATATACTCCATGTGTCCTGTTCCACCTTGTCATCCCTTATATCACAATCCCAGGCATATGCCAGGAGGATGGCAGGAAGACAAGGCTCTCTTATCTACTAGACCACTTCCAGCCATAGAAGGCTCTGCCTGAATCACTTCCACACTCTGTTGGAAACAGAGGCCACAAATGCCTCCCCGTCCCACCCAGAGCTCTGGTCCTCACCAGCATGCCACTCTGCTGTCACTCCCAGGACCACACGTCAAATGCAAGTGACATCACTGTCGTGCTAGGAGGAAAAGTATTGTTGTGTTCTGTTTTTTTCAAGTAAGAACAAAGCTATTGAAGGTTTATTCAGAATCCCAAAGGATTCCCAACACGAAAAGATATAACTGTCTTATAAAGGTCGGGCCTATAAAAGCAATTTTTCAAAGGAAAAAAAAAAAATGCCTCACTTCACAACAAAGGAAGTCCCAGCTCAGTGAGTGCTGTGCAACATCAATGTTTTCATGTCCCAGAGCCTAACATTCCTCAATAGGTAGGATGCTGATGACTCGGCATTTTGGTAATTGTGCACATACACTCAGAGGTTTTTGAGCAAGGGAAATGGAAATGCTTTTAATAAAAAAAGAGAAGAAATCAGTAACAGACGAGTGTCCTAGCAGCATGGCAAACGAGTTCAAGTTGTATAATTCCCCTTGGCATTTCCTAAGAGCAGAGGCCCAGGCTGGGGGGAGTGAAGTGAAGAGAAAAATGTGAAACTACAGTCAAAGAGGTCTAAGAGGGGACAGATCAAACAGTGATCAAACTGACCACAGAATTCCTCACCAGGAGGTAGGCCACGCCACGGACATATCCCTTTGTCCGCTCTTCCTTACATCGCACCCTCAAGCTAGCCCTGGAGACTGGGTGGTGGAAAGCAGGGTTTTCTTCTCTAGACTCCGAGGTGCTGTGGAGAAGCGTGATAGACCCCATTCCTGCAGCCTCTGCGTAGTCAGGCTGCAAGGGATATCTGTCCTAGATGGCAAGTTGGAGACACTGAGGTTGGGCGGAGAAGACCCTGGGGTACAATTGGTTGTGGGGCGGGAGAGGGGGTGGAAGAGGATTTGACACTCTAACTGGGGCTGAATGGAATCTCCTGTGCACTGATAGGCACGGGGCTCCCTGAACCTACACACAGCTCCGTGATGCTTGCCTTACTCATGACACCTGTACCTAGAGCAGAACCCATGATACAGGAGAATGCCCCACTTCCTGTTTCAGTCTAGGGATTTGAGGGGAAAGTAGGGTACAGCGGCTGCCTGCTTCTATCTTTCAGAGCATCAGTGAGGGACAAGAGGAAACAGCCCTCTCTCGTCATAGTCACTGTGTCATGGGCCACCTGTGTTCTCCAAACTGGATGGGGGAGCTTAATTACATAGGCCTATAAGAGTACAAACTAGGATTATTAAAATTCATCATTCTGGGGTAATATTCAACATCAGACAACCAAATGCCAAAAGCTCTCTGTCAAAGCTACAATGTGAACTCTGCAAATAAGCCCAAGTTAGGAGCCCAGATGAACTCGCTCACATTACAAGGAGCTTTAATGGTTCCCAAATGTTTACGACACACAAGCCAACCCAAAGGAGTATTGTCACTTACCACATTTCACAAAGTAAAAGGATTATTTTTAGAGACTCCCTCTATATTCTGGGAGGAAACGGTCCCCATTGATCTCAAAGCACATTACAGATGTCATTTGAACACTGAAAAAGAATCACTGCTCCTGACCTCTTTCCTGCCTCTGTGCTTTTGTGGATTTGGAAGGATTGTCATGGGGAACTTGAAATCATCTCCACTGGGAAAAGAAAAAAGGAATGAATTTGGGGAGAGGGGATGATAACTGCAGTGGAGCTGTGAACTCTCAGTGGGTTGATCAGAAGTCTACTTTTTAAATGAAAGCACCTGCAAAGCTGGCTAATTACATCATACCCTGGAAGCAATGCAATGCACAAAACCACTCCTCGCTCCTTATTTCAAACTAAAGCTCAAATAGAAGGAAACTGCCTATGTATGGATAATGGTGGCAATCTTTGGTTCAGGGACCGCTGGCCTCAATCCACAGAGAGCATCATAATTCATTATCATGACTGCTTTCAAAATGCTAGTAAGTCACAGACCTCTAGGGGGCACAAAATGCCCATGTTCAGAGGGGTAGCCAAGTCCAGGACAATAGAAGCAGGACCTAAGAAACTCAGATTCCATACATCACCCATCAAGACAAGGGCACTCCTTAATCCACATTACCTATTTTACCCATCTCCCCAACCCTTCCCCTCTGGGAACCATCAGTTTGAGTCTGTTTCTTGGTTTGTCTCTCTTTCTTTTTCCTTTGCTCATTTGTTCTGTTTCTAAAATGCCACGGGTCACTATATTGTACACCTGAAACTAAAAGAACATTGTATGTTAACTATACTGGAATTTAAAACAACAAAAGAATTTTGCAATGTATACAATTTATGTATCAAATTATCACATACATCTTAAATTTACAGTGTTATATGTCAATTATGTCTCAAAAAAACTGGAAACTTTGTTTTATTTTGAGTATAGTTGACACACAGTGTTACACTGGTTTCAATGTACCACTTAGTGATTTAACAAGCTACCCTCTATCCCATTACATCGCTATCAGTGTCACTGACTATTCCTTTTGCGTTGCTTTTTATTCCTATGACTTATTCATTTCAAGTGAAAACTTTTTGTTAAAAATAAAAAAGAATTGGAGAAATTAGAAAAAAAATGTAACAGTAAAAAAGAGAGAGATTTGGATTTCAATCTTCATCCTTCGCCTTCTCACTACACAGGTGATACTGCTGGATGGCTCAATGTTTTCAGAGGCTGTTTCCCTACTTATTGTTTTGCAATGTTAATTCCTTCCCATCTCCTGAGGTTGTTGTGGGGATCAAATAAAATGACTGGGTTCTTTTTAAACGTAAAGGCCCTATTAATTTCCAGGATTTCTCTCTCCTCTGTGTAAGATGGAGGCAAGATGTAATATATGCAAATAATTATATTTGGATCATAAATCAAGTATGGGGCCAGACAAAAGGAGACCAAGTGAAAGGAGGTGGGGAGGAGAGAGACAAAGGAGAAGAAAGGCATCCCCGCCCTTTCTTTTTTTTTTTATCCAAATTGGCAATGAAGAAGTCAAACTCTCTCTCTTCGCAGATGACATGATTCTTTATATGGAAAACCCAAAAGACTCCACCCCCAAACTACTAGAACTCATACAGCATTTCAGTAACGTGGCAGGATACAAAGTGAATGGACAGAAATCAGTGGCTTTCTGTCTGAATTTCTGTCTGTATTTCTGAAAATACAGAAAGGGAAATTAGAGAATCGATTCCATTTACTATAGCACCAAGAACCATAAGATACCTGGGAATAAACCTAACCAAAGAGGTAAAGGATTTGTACTCGAGGAACTACAGAACACTCACGAAAGAAACTGAAGAAGACACAAAAAGATGGAAGACCATTCCATGCTCTTGGATCGGAAGAATAAGCTTGTTAAAATGTTTATACTGCCTAGAGCAATCTATACTTTTAATGCCATTCCGATCAAAATTCCACCGGTATTTTTCAAAGAGCTGGAGCAAATAATCCTAAAATTTGTATGGAATCAGAAGAGACCCCGAATTGCTAAGGAAATGTTGAAAAACAAAAATAAAACTGGCGGCATCACGTTACCTGATTTCAAGCTTTACTACAAAGCTGTGATCACCAAGACAGCATGGTACCGGCATAAAAACAGACACATAGACCAGTGGAACAAAGTAGAGAACCCAGATATGGACCCTCAACTCTAAGGTCAAATAATCTTCAACAAAGCAGGAAAGAATATACAGTGGAAAAAAGATAGTCTCTTCAATAAATGGTGCTGGGAAAATTGGACAGCTATATGTAGAAGAATGAAACTCGACCATTCTCTTACACCGTACACAAAGACAAACTCGAAATTGAGTTTATCTTGTGAGTGAGGCAGGAATCCACCAGAATCCTAGAGGAGAACATAGGCAGTAACCTCTTTGATATCAGCCACAGCAACTTCTTTCAAGATATGTCTCCAAAGGCAAAGGAAACAAAAGTGAAAATGAACTTTTGGGACTTCATCAAGATCAAAAGCTCCTGCCCTTTCTTTTTTCCTGCTTTGTTCGTCACTGCTCCACTCTGCAAAGATAAACCAAGGGTGGGAAGAAGTTGGCCTTGCTCTCTCAGCTTTGTGGCTCACCTATTTCTTGTTGGGTTGAAGACCCAGGCATGGAAAATGAGGGGAAGGTGGAAAGAGTTCTCAGGAGCAGCTGCCACCCACCAGGGTTAGATCAGAAGTTACAGCACCTCCTGGTGGGGGTGGGGCTGGGGGTGTCACACTGCAGGAACAAGTCACCTTCATCTTGGTCTGATGCTGGGTTACCATCAAGTTTTTCATAATAAATATCAATGGACTAGAATTAACCTTCTCTTAACTGGAGTTACAAAATTACAGAGAACTGGTTTGTCTGGTTAACTGAGGGTAATTTAAAAGGTAATGACACCCCTGCTTTGATCCTTCTGATTGAGTATCTTTTAAAAATGTAAGCCTTGCCTTTCAGCTGAAGCTTCATAGCTACTCTTCCTTCATGAAGATTCCCTGCATGTGAAGGATCTTGAAGGTCCATGATGTGGTCACTTCTCATTTTGCTGACAGGCAGGAGTAGACCAGTTAGCTGGTAGAGGGCACCAGCTTGGCACCCCCACATGGACCGTGCTGGTCAGTAGTCATCATGAGGGCATGAGCTCTCACAAAGCAAGAAAGATTTTATTTCTTGGTGGAAAATCATTAAATGAGAGAGAAAACCTTGATGATATTTGAGAAGGTGATTAACTTGTTTTGTACAGATAAACATGGGAACCAGATGGTTTTTGATGGGAAAAATGTGATTTGGAAGAAACAGGAGTCAACATAAATTCTTCTGAAGCTGCAAACTTGGGGGTTTGAGGTCTCAGGACACAGCCTCTTTGAAAGTTGAGGGTCTACTGTACAGATAGCAAAACATAACTGAATTCTTGCTGGCTGAGGTTATGATGGGGGCCTCAGAATCCTATTGTGGTACTGGGATAGGGAGACAGATGTGGGGTGGGGGTACAGGGAATTGGACCTGTTTTTAAATTCTAACTTCAGGGAGGTTTAAGACAGAAATTCTTGGTTTGCTCATTACTTGTTTCATGAGCCTGAGAGAGCATCCTCTAGACATGAAAACAATACAAACACTTCATCAATTATTTAGACTGATTACATTCTCCTCAACCCTTGGGTTACTCTGTAGTTCTATGAGGAGCTGTCTGACCCAGTTAAAAAGAAACCCAGCAACTTTTATACAATTAACAACAGAGGTTAAACCTAATGAAAAGTTGTTTTGAAATTCTTACACATATTCTTTGTATGAGTAAGGCCAGAGATAATATAGTCACCAGAGAGCAACATTACAGGGGAAGATGAGGCTGGGTTAGTTAGTGGTCAGCTAAAGGCAGAGGCCACAGAGAATGAATGGTGGAGGGAAAATAGGTAGCAGTAAGGGATGGTACTCTGTTGTTTCTTTCTAGTCCTCTCCTGCTGCACTTCTCATCCCTCCATTCTGCAGCGAGACAAAAGATGAGGAAGAATTCACACCAGCCCTCACTCTATCATTTCTCCCCATACCTACACAGAGACTTCCCGGGAGCTAAGTTCACAAGTGACACCACTGACTCAGCAACGCCTGGGCCGTGTGTGCCAGGGAGTGTTATCTGTGCGATGGGCTATGCCTTAGTCCTGGCAGTGCCTGTGGGAGACACTAGTTCCTCGCAGGACAGCGACTGAGACCAATGGCCTCTTGCACACCCCACTGACTCTACGGAGACCCGACACACCCACGCATGTTTACCTGGGGAGCCCGCCAGAGAGTCCCCTCTGCTGAAGGCGAAGGTACGGGACACAGAGACGGGCACTAAAGAGTCAAGGGCCAAGGATTTGTGAGTTGCGAAAGGGAAGATAAACAGAAAAGGAGAAAGACAAAAGAGCAAAGTGTGTGAGTCAGTCTGTTCTTGAGTCTTCACAACAGCACATTTCTCTGTAAAAGGGAATCTTGCCTCTGAGAACAGGGAAATTGCAAATCCTCTCACAAAGTCACCCTCCAGAAACCCAAATGTAAAACAGACTTGGCGGAAAGTCTTTCCGGAAAGATGTGCAGTAATCTTACAGGGGATTCGACCTTCCGATGACAAGAGCGGGCAGGGGCCCTTGCGGGGTGGGGACATGTGTCTACAGCATTCTCCGTGAGCCCACAAATAGGCTGGGGGTCCCGCACCGCCTTTCCCCCGGCTCATCCCCACGGCCACCGGCCTCTGCGCGCCTGCGCCGCGGTTCCAAGCAGAGCGCATGCTCCGGCCTGCGGCGGTCGGAAGAAGCGTGCCTCAGCCTCCCAGCCCCTCCTCGGTGCTCACAGTGCCGGGCGCTAACTGTGCGTTGCGGGATCAAGCGGTGTTTCTGTCTGGGAATCTGTCTTCCTCCCTCTTATCCAGTTGTTCAGAGTGCCCCTTCCTTGGGGACTAAATGAAGTCAGTCTGTGGAGGACAGCGCACCAAAACCGGCAACTTCTGTGGTCTTACCTGCCGTGCCAGGTGATTGTACTGAGTTTACACGCGCAGGAGAGCGGAGGAGATTTATACCCACCTAACTGATAATCATTCGGTCTGACACCAGATGTCAAAGAATATTGGAATGGGCTCCTAATGTGAGACCTACCGGGATAAGAAACCCCACAGTCTCAAGAAGCATCCTAGAGTTTCTTGGGGTGCAAATGAAATGTATACCCCACCAAACAGGGAGGAGACAGCCTCTCTCTGCTTGCATTGCCCCGTGGGCTTGAAGAAACTCAGGCCTGGTTTCTTCAGAGTTCCCAGGCTCAATGTGATCCTCCTAGAGTCCCTGGCAATCAGATCCAAGAGAGAGGAGACAGTGCTGGCTGTGTTCCCTTACCCTGCACAGGAAAACCAGGGTGACTTAATAACCTCAAATTCGACTTTGAGGCTAGGTCCCAGGGCCAGTGTTCTGACGAACCTCTCATCCCATTTATCTCTCTCAAAGGCTAATAAAGCTATAGGCTGGCTTCCAGGACAAGGGTAGTTGGCCAGACCCAGACCCTATAAGAATTCACTCCCTTATGCTCTCCTTTGACTGCAGGCTGAGGTTCACTGCTATTGAGTGATGCTGGGCAGCTAGACCCTAGGGTGCGGGTGCACCCCAGGCATAACTGTGGGGTGTGGCAGCCTTAGCCCATATTTCACACTGTACTTTGCTAAGTGGGGAATGCTTGTGGGGGATGATGGAAAATGTCTCCACACCCCTACTGGTTAATTTGATTTCTTTCTCCTTCTGAAGATTATAAAGATGCTCAGAAGTGAGGGGAGGGAAAAGTTTAATGCTCCTTTTTAGTTAACCAGTTTTGAAGGAGAGATCAGTGTTACAAGTTTATGCCTGTCTCACTGATAAAATGGAAGGAGATATGGATAGAAAGAACTAGAGACAGGAAAGAAGGAAGGAAGGGAGGAAACCAGGTAACAGCTTCCCAAGATTTTTAAAATAATTTTCTTTTCAAAGAAAAAAGATCATCCATATTACGTGGGCTGGGGAGTCTCATGTAGCTCTTTGTCCCCCTGTCTTTTGGTCTTCTAAAAGAGCCAGAACAGGGCCAAATGTCTGCGTAACATTTAGAATCCTAGGAATTACCCCACCTTAAGCAATCCCTAATGTGATGGATGGAAATCTCCTTTAGAGAACCAAGATTTCCCTGGTCCTGTAGCTCATCCCTCTCCCATTCAGAGTTCTTGTTCTAAGATGATGATGCTTCCTTCCTCAACCTTACTTGAGATCTGTTGGCCTATATAAGTGTCATATGTACCAGGGCTTTACTTTTATCGATCTTCAGTTCATGTTGGGCCATGCTTTGGGTATGGACAGGTACTTCAACTTCATTTCAGCCTTCTGCTCGGCTAAGGTATAAATTACACTGTAAACCATTCCACTGTTTCTACATGGAAATTACATTCTGGAACATGATGGGTCTCAAATCTATTTCTTTGTGCTGTGTGAACTAGCCAGGACATGGGATTGCATCTGGGTAGTCATCCACTTGCTGGGTAATTTGGAGCAAGTCAATTCTTTAATTTCTCTGTGTTAAGATAGTATCTACCTTTCCTGTGCCAGGGATTGTGAGATCAAGCTTTAGGATCCTCTGGTAAATCCCAATAGAAAGCCCTCCATAAAAATCTTTTTTATGATGAGAGAAAATACCCCATTTGGCATGAAAATAGCCACCGCTGTAAACATGAACAGCTGAAAGCAACGCAAAATTCAGACCCGTGAACCGAAAAGAAATCTAGAGAAATAATTCATTCTGGATCACGCTTACATCCCAATAAACACCATCCCTTCTAAGCGCAAGTACAATATCCCCACACAGGAAACAGCAAGAAGGTAGAGCACAGAAGAGGCAGAACAAACCAGCCATGAGCCCTGTGGCAGCCGCCAGCACCAGCATGCACAGTCAACTGGAAGCCAGCTCTCCACCAGCTGAGACGTGTAACGAGGAAAGAGAAGCAGGTAAGCAACATACTGTGGCAGCCTGGGACTCACATCCTAAGACCTTGTGGGCATTTTCTACGGTATGGTAATGTAATACAGTAATGACAGACCTATGTCAGGTAAAGTAAAGGCCAGTGGGTGAATTATATCCTAGCGGAGAAGGAAAGGCTGAACCTGCACCAGAGCACCCAATCACCAGCCTTCATTCCCCAGCAGGTGACAGTAAATGGGGTCCCCTTCCCTCACAACTTCCCTCCCTGTCATTCGTCACTTGCACATGAGCAGAGAAGCAGCAGGAAACATTCCAAACACAGAAACGAGGCGCCTGTGGTCCGTAGGTACCTGGCAGGAGGCAGTGTTCCTGGCAGAGCATTACAAAGAGGCTGCCAACATTTGGGTTAGCCCCAGCCCAGCCTCAAAGTGCTTGGTCCAGGTCCCCAGGGCTGAGACAAGACTACGATGGGGACAGGTGGGAGAGAGGTTTGAGAGATACATACGAAAGACTGAGGATCCAGCCAGGCTTCCAACCTTCCGCACATCATTATCTAAGGACAGAAGAATGCAGTTGAGAACACACACCTCCTTAAGGGAATGCCCCTCCTCCACCACACCCGCAGCACCAATGAACTCTGCAAAAACCAGGCAATCGAATGGAAGTGTAAAAAGCAAAATAAACTTGTCTTTTCACACAGAAAAACACCACTATCCACCCCTGACACTTGATAACACTGCAGTTTACCACGGACTTCCATGAAGAGACTCTCCGATTAAGAAAGGACTTTCACACCCATTTTATGGAGGAGGAAACTAAAGTCTAGGGAGTTAAATGGCTTGTATAGAGAGTCCCTAAGAGGAGTCAGGACTTGAACCCAGATGTTCTCTTCCACCATATCCCACTGCTTCCCCAAGAAGCTCTGGCTTGGGGACTGGAATACCTGAGCAAGCAGTGGTCATGATGGCTGGGACTCCATAGTAGGTGAAAGCTCCATTCTCGAAGCGAAGGCCTTCCTTGCCAACCTCCACTTCCACTTTACCCTGGGGAAAGAAGGAAGTGTACAAGGGCGTGTGTGAGCACTTCCAGTGCTATCATTGACTACAACCCCAAGCACTTCTGTATGGTAACAAACAGGTGGACTTAAGTTCTTATCACAGGGAAATGTGAAGTCTGTCTAGATCCATTTCAAAGATAGAACCTTTGACTTCAGCAGTATGTTAGTTGCTTTGTTCATAGAGGAGTGTCCCGTCCTGGCTAACCAACTCTCTTTGCATGCTCTAATGGCCCTTCTATGATGAATGTCCTGGCCCCAGCTAGCCCCTGGCCCCATAAACTGCCCCACCGGTTGAGAGAAAATCTGATTCTGTGCAGAGCTTGTGTATTTCATTGCCAGGAATAATGATCACTAATGGCTAGCATGTAGTGTGTATCTGCGGGCCTTGTACTGTGTTCTGTGCACTGCATAGATTCTCACTCACTCAGTCCTACCACCCTATGGGGCCCATACTGCTTTCATCCCCAGCTTCCAGGTGAATCAATTTGAGGCTCAGAGGGTCACATACCTTGGTAAAGGTTAGTTAGAACGTGGCAACACTGGCATTTTAAAGCCAGATCTTTCCCATTGCTGAACCTACACTCTTGCCACTACCTTTCAGTCCCTCTGACTTTTATTTGAAAATGGTTACGTTTACATGAAGCGTAAGATAGTAGGTTATATGAGTTCATGACATTATATAAACAATAGAATAGGACTCTTGTTGATTTTCAGCAGTGAAGACTGTGACTCCATTTTGGAGAAAGGAGAAAGGAGGCTCTGTGTTAGGATGGGTGTGAGGCCCATTACAGGGTCAGAGCAGACAGGCTGTAGGTGGACAGTAAGCACAAAGAGGCCACTTCTAAGGTCACTGAGCTTAATTAAGATTTTAAGGCAATCACTGTATTTAGGGTTTGTAAGATTCTGTTGAGAAGAGATGGGCAATAGTAACAGAGCTAATGGTAGAGCCGGGCCAGGGAGCCAGCAGCATCACAAGCTAGAACCACATGTCACATGTATTTACAACAGTCCTATCCAGGCACCCAGGGTGGAAGGCGCTGGGACTTATTTGAGCACCGGGAAGATGCTACACCTTTTTCATTCAGTCATCTGTTCCCTCCCTGGTCCTCTTAACGAGGAGAAGATTCGAGAGGCTACAAAGGCTGAAATGTGGCAGTGAGAGTGGATGTGTTCCACGCACCCCCAGAGCAAGGAGCGGGTGGGAGTCAGATATGGTGAGACGCCAGCATGACAGACACGAGACAGGCCTGCAGGTTGGGAAGCATGGACCGTCGCATTCCTGGGCAAGTCTGAGCAGACAAGGGGGCTTCGGGATTCTGCAGGATGACAGTTTTGGAAGTGTAGTCTCAGAACCCCTCTGTTGGAGAAGTCCCCACCCAACCCCACCATAAACACTACTGACCGGTCAGACTAACTGCCATCAAGATCCCACCACTCTCGGGACAGTGGCCAGTCACATCTGGCCCTTCTGTGGGTCATGGACAAACACCCACCCCACCTGGCCCTGCCCTGAGGTAGTACGCTGAGGCTTTCAACCTGGCTGAGGAGGCCCAGCCCTTCCTCTCTATCCAGCCTGGAGATGCCCTCGTCCCGCCCTTGGAGGATCTCTAACTCTCCCACTCACCTGCAGAAGCAGCACGAAGTAGTCCACGGGGCGGTTGCGCTGGTAGAGGTAGTGTTCTGGGGCTTTCTTGTTTTTCTCGTCAAACTTCAGCTCCTGGATCACATTGGGGTGTTTGAGGAGCCGGAGCAGGATCTTCTCCGAAAGGTACAGAGATTTAAAGGGCTCCACTTCTAGGGGAGATAGGGAGGCAGGACGGATTAGCAGCCGGGAGAGTCAGGATGGGCAAACCAGGCACGTGTCTACAGCCACCTCCATTCATGCTCTGGGGCACCGAGCTGGCAGGGCTCTAGTGAGTCTCAGGTGGAGTGGGGGGTGTGGGATTGTGCACCTCAGCTTCTCCCCATGCCCTCTGGGGATATGTGTCCCTGTGGTGGCACCCTGGAGAAAACAGGTCACCATTTTGGAAATGTTACTTTTGCTATTAATTTTCTTCTTGATGTTATTTAAAGTTGAGTGTGGCCTAAAAAAGAAGGCAGTTTTGCCACTTGCAACAACATGGATGAACCTGGAGAACATTATGCTAAATGAAATAAGCCAGACACATAAGGACAAATATGTATGATACCACCTATATGATGAATCTGAAATAGTCACATTGTGGGCGCCTCAGTGGCTCAGATGGTGGGTATCCGACTCTTGATTTTGGCTCAGGTCATGATCTCAGGGTTGTGAGACTGAACTCCTCATTGGGCTCTACGATGGGCCTGGAGCCTCCTTAAGATTCTCTTTCCCTCTCCTTCTGCCCCCTCCCCTGCCCTTGTGCACACTCTCTCTCAAAAAAAAATTTTTTTTAAAAAGATTTATCTATTTATTTATTTATTTGACACAGAGAGAAAGAGCACAAGCAGGGGAGTACCAGGCAGAGGGATGAGGGAGAAGCAGGATCCCCGCTGAGCAGGGAACCCAATGCAGGACTCAATCCCAGGACTCCGGGATCATGACCTGAGACGTTCAACCAACTGAGCCACCCAGGCGTCCCTCTCTCAAAAAAATTTTTAAAAGTAATGAAACAAACAGTCAAACTCAGAGAAGCTGAGAGAAGCACCCCAGTTAGCCAGGGCTAGTGGGAGGGGGACATGGGCGAGGTACTGGTCAAAGGGGGCAAAGTTTTAGTTATGCAGGATGAGTAAGTCCTGGAGATCTCCTGCATAGCTTAGTGTCTGTAATTAGCAACAGTGTATTGTATATGCAAAATTTTGCTAAGATGGTAGATCTTATGGTAACATAGGAAAAATAGTAATAAAGAAAGAGGGTGGGAGGAAACTCTTAGAGGTGATGGATATGCTTATGGCAGCTTAGCTCCAAACTCCTCAAGTCATATATGTTAAATACATACCGCTTTTCATATGTCAATCTTACCTCAATGAAATGGCTCAAGAAGAAAAAAAGCAATGGTAAGAGGAGCACGGATAAGCAAGCCATGTGAACAACAAAGGCTTTATTGCTATCATCAAATGAAACACAGAGAATTTAATCTTATTGGTATGACATGTATCTGTTGAATGAAATGAAATTCCAAGTTAATACAGAGTTAATTACTTAAGTGATACGTTCCCCAAAATGTGAAGCCTTGTGGTATCACATTTTCATATTAACAGATATTATTGTTATATTATTATGTTATGTCATGTTATGAACAGACACAGCTGTTTTGCTTTGACAGGCAGCCAGTAGTTAAATCTGTAATTAGGACTAGAAAACATGTTGAAAACTACTTTCAAGAAACTCCAATTTAGGGGCGCCTAGGTGGCTCAGTGGGTTAAGCCTCGGCCTTCTTAGAAAAAAAGGAAACTCCAATTTAAAATTTTCTACTTCTTAGCACCTTGAACAGTCCTAACTGTGTCCTAACACTCCTAACACACTCAATAAATAGATGTTGGACTAACTGACAATTGAACTTAGTCATGAGTGTTACTGTTCCAAGTCAGCACCTTAATTGGGCCTGGGTGAGAAGACTAGAAAGTTCAAAGACAAATAGTACCTTCTTTATAAGAAGGGGAAGTTTGTATTTGGATCTTCATTTTTTTTTTTCCTAAAGATTCCAAGATTTACAATTGACTTCTGTATTTTAAGAACTTGTGTAGCTGGGGTGCCTGGGTGGCTCAGTGGGTAAGCCTCTGCCTTTGGCTCAGGTCATGATCTCAGGGTCCTGGCATTGAGCCCTGCATCAGGCTCTCGGCTCTGCAGGGAGCCTGCTTCCCCCTCTCTCTCTGCCTGCCTCTCTGCCTACTTGTGATCTCTCTCTCTGTCAAATAAATAACTAAAATATCTTAAATAAGAAAAGAAAAGAAAAGTCACTTTTTGGGGCACCTGGGTGGCCCAGGGGGTAAAAGCCTCTGCCTTCGGCTCAGGTCATGATCCCAGGGTCCTGGGATCGAGCCCCACATTGGCCTTTGCTCACTGGGGAGCCTGCTTCCCCCTCTCTCTGCCTGCCTCTCTGCCTACTTGTGATCTCTCTCTTTCTGTCAAATAAATAAGTAAAATCTTAAAAAAAAAAAAAAACAAAAAAAACTTGTGTAGCTCACAAGCCTATGTGGTCCAGGGAGGGTACCAACCCCAGGCCTCCTTGCTGGGTAGGACAAGGCCTTTCCTTCCTCAGCAAATCCTCGGGGGGCACCCCAGCTCCAACAAGATGGAGCTCGGCCTTAGGCTCCTGCCAGAAAGCAAGGGGAGGAAGGGAAGAGAGCAGCAGTGGTTTCTTTAGCTCTTTCCTTGAGTAGAAGAGAGGAAAGCAGAGCTGAGTTGTACTCACTTCAGTCCTAGAAGATCAGGCCTGGGGCTGAACAGGACAGTATGTGGCCTCCTGTGGCCTAACCTACGGCATCCCCTCTCCCTGGAACAGAGGTTCTCCATCTCTGCTGTGCACTGGAATTAGGTTGCGAGGTACTAACGTGATTGGTGTGTGGGTTTCACCTTCCAGATTCTGCTTTCCTTGTCTGGGGAGGAGACGCAGGCAGGGGGTGGGGGGCAGAGTCATACCTGTGGCCATGAAGCGGTGTGTGGCCAGCAGAAGCTGGGGAGAGATCTTCACCCTCATCTCCGAGTCAGAAAGCTTGAATAGGGAAAAGTCGTGCCGCTTCCTCTCCCTGTGTGGAACCCTCTGCTTTTTCCGGTTGTCAGCTGCAGGGTCACAAAGTGGAGATATCAGAATCAGTCTTCCCACAGTCATATGGGAGATAGATCCTTTGGGATCCCATGAATTTCTGCGACATGTCAACTGTAGGTGACCTCACAACTTCTCTTTCCCGGGGAGCAGAAGGATGCTACTAAGGGGTAGAAGATGGGTGATGTTGCCAGGTCTCAGGGCTATTTACACTGAGGTGGTGTGGAGTGGAAGAGGGGAAAGGCTGGCCTGGCGCCCCTGAGGGCAGGTTTCTGGTGGTGGCTCCCTTCCTTACCAGCTGTGAAACCTCTCTGGGCATCAGAGTGTGTGCTCATTTTCATCTACACAATGAGGTTCATAAGTAGCAATAATGCTTCTGCTCATCCCCTTGTAGTTATTCTGAGACTCTGAGCAGAACCATCTGTAAAGTGCCTACTAAATGGCATTTGTGCCTGAGGGACTAGCTTTCTCAGCATCAGGGGAGCTGGTGGAGCCCAGGAGGTTTCCATCTCTTGCCCTTCTCCTGTCCCCAGAGCTGGGTTCACCAGGTCTCTTCCTGCTGATTTAAACCACGCCCTGGGCAGTATCTGAGGCACGTCACCCAAGGAACCTGGGTGGTCACCTCCTCTTCCACTCACAATTCTCCTGCTTCAACCCTAGCCTCGCCCCAGGCAGAGGATTGGGGAAAAAATCTAGGGAAGAAGAAAGGAGAAGGAATGGGCACAGCCGTGTAACTTACAAAGTCAGGTTCTCTAGGTGGGGGCCCTCAGGCAGAACCTAGGGGAACTTTAGATGGCCTGAGATACTGATGAAGAAAGTCTGCCCTTTCCAATTTAACTTTTTCTCCCTTCTTTCTTTATTTTTTATTTTATTTTTTTAAATTTTTTTTAAAGATTTTATTTATTTTTTCGACAGAGAGAGATCACAAGTAGGCAGAGAGGCAAGCAGAGAGAGAGAGAGGAGGAAGCAGGCTCCCTGGCAAGCAGAGAGCCGGATGCGGGACTCAATCCCAGGACCCTGAGATCATGACCCGAGCTGAAGGCAGAGGCTCAACCCACTGAGCCACCCAGGCGCCCCTCTCCCTTCTTTTTTTAAAGCTTGTTCTAAAAACAATATTTTCTTACGGGTAGGGGGAATGTTTTCCTTGGTCGGGTGTCTTTTGCTTTCCCTTAGTTTTGAATAAGATTTTGAAACGTCTTGCCTACTTCACAGTGCTAAGGGGAGCAGAGAAAGGGATTTGGGTTTTCTCCAGACTTGGCCTGGAGACAAACAGGGCTGGGGGGAATTTCAGTGCAGACTGAGTGGACACAGTGGACACCGAGGGGAATGAATCCTAGGAACAAGGAACCGGGCCCCTAGAATCTGGCTCCCTGGTATTCTCCTTCTCGTTTTGGAGCTCACTTCAGCTCCACTGTTTGGGTTTCCCTCTAGAAGACAGAAGGTGCCCTTCTATGGTACTGAGGTCTTGTGGGTCTATCTTGGACTCTGAGATGCTGCTTTAACACCCCTTTTGCTCAGGTAGCAAGAGTGGCAAGAGGCAGACCCAGCTGTCCTGTGGGTCAGGGTCAAGTGAGAAGAAACACCGTATTCCTGGCTCCTTGGCCTTCTCACAGCTCTTACGGAATCACACCAGCAGCTTATTTATAAAGGGCAGGAAAGCCCTACTCCTCTCCTTCAGAAAGAGGATTGCTCAGCAAGAGAGCAGCAGATACTTGTGTGGGATCAATTCTTTTGCTCTCACTGGTGAGCAGCCCTCTGCTTTATAGGACATGTTTGCCTAAATATCCCCTCTCCCTCCTCTACCAGAATGCCACTTAACATTTCACCATTGGAGAACCATTCCTCATTTCTGTCTTCCTTCCTATTATTTTAATAGGAATTAAGGTGGTTAAATGCTGGAGGGGGAGCACATTTATTTATTTATTTATTTATTTTAAATTTTTTCAGTGTTCCAAGATTCATTGAGAGCATGTTCATTTAGACTACCATCACTACTATCAGCCATGAATAGGGTAGTGTGACTGCCTTCCCCAACAGATCTACTGAGATAGATGGGAATTCTAAATCAGAGCGTAGGCAGGGGTGGAGGAAGAAGGAAATGGGGGTGGGGTGTAGAAGTTAACCCCTGTTTGAAGAAATTGGGCCTGGCCAGGATATCAGAGCAATACCAGATACTGTGACACTCTTACTGTATTTTGTCAGGGCCTGATCCATCTTTGGGGTTTGATCTCTTCTAAAGGGACGGTAGTCTTTCTGCACCACTCACTGCCTTCCGGCATTAAAGTTCTTTGTACTGGGAGCTGGTTTCTGAATGGCTGCTTCTAGCAAACTAAGGACAGGGGTCTTCTTGATGGAATGAGTTATCTGAGGTAGGGAAAAGGGACTGCTGTCTCAAGAAGTGAAATCCAGAGGAGGAAACACTTCCTGGCCTAGGGACTCCCATAGATTTAGATACTCTCATCCCACAGACAAAGCAAGCCTTTGTAATGTTTGCAAGCAAAGCTTTGATAAGGCTCAGTAACGAAAGCAGTCCTTGTCTGCATTGAGTCCATATTGTTCTTGAGAGCGGGAGTAGGTAGGAGGGCAGGGGTGGGAAGGGAGAATGAGAAACAGGGCTGTGAGGGAGAAGAGCAGCATCAAAGAAAGAGGTATTTAAGGCTTTGGCTTAGGCTGTGTGTGGGCAGTCTCACGTCAGTCCCTGCCGCGCGCTGGTGCTGTGGTGTGGGCCGACTGTGAGGGCAACCCCAGGGACAGCTGGGGTCTGCGTTTAGATGGATGAAGAGACAAAACCAAAACAAAACAACACGGGTTGGGGGGAGGGAGGGAAACAAGGGCAGAGTGGCCACCCAAGGCACATTTTTCTGTCTTTTACTTCCTTTTCCATCCTAAGGCCAGGAGGTCTCCTTTTCACTCTTGGCTTGGTTCCCAAAGGTTCCCTCCTGACAAACATTTAGCTAGCATGTTCTCAGTGACTCAGAGTGACTCAAGCCAGGTGCCAGCACCTAATATTTGGGGGCTGACTCAGTAATGCATCGGCTTGTCCCAACATCCTTTCACACAGTATGTCAAACTAAGCCAGCTCTGAGAATCTCAGAAGAAATGGGATGACCTTGGACAGGAGCCAAGGCCATGTACTTACTGTAGAGGTCAGTTTCATCCAGGATCTCCGACTTAATGATCTCCTCTATGATGTCCTCCAGGGTGACAATTCCCATCACCTCATAGAAGGGGTCTCCTTCTCCCTCATTGTTCACCCGCTGGACAATGGCCAGGTGAGATTTTCCTAGAGAACAAACCAAGTTCCAGTTAAGGATCTGGAATATTTTTAGAAATCTTTCCTTATGAGAAAATTATACAAAGTTGCTCTGTGGCTAATCTTGGGACTGAACTCATCTGAGGACCTACTTAATATATGAAATTTGTGTATAAGCTCCTACAAATGCAAATCTTATGCTTTTTTTAAAAAAAGATTTTATTTACTTATTTGAGAGCGAGAGAGAACACGAGCAATCAGAAGGAGGGGCAGAGGGAGAGGGAGAAGCAGACTCCCTGCTGAGCAGGGAGCCGGGCATGGGGCTCTATCCCAGGACCCTGGGATCATGACTTGAACCGAAGGCAGATGCTTAACCAACTGAGCCACCCAGGCACATCCAAACCTTATACTTTTATATCTCTTTCTTTTCTAGAGAGATTAATTACCTAATAAACACAAAGCCAGGTAACTTTTTTCTTTTAGCTTTCACATATTAACAAGTACATCTAAGCTGAAGGAGGATGAATAATTTTTTTTTTTAATTTGACAGAGAGATCACAAGTAGGCAGAGAGGCAGGCAGAGGGGAAGGGGGAAGCAGGCTCCCTGCTGAGCAGAGAGCCCGATGTGGGGCTCAATCCCAGGACCCTGAGATCATGACCTGAACCGAAGGCAGAGGCTTAACCCACTGAGCCACCCAGGTGCCCCAAGGATGAATAATTTAATTGAAAGAATGAGAATTTGGAATCAAAAGAAGTAGGTTAGCCATCTTTTTCCCTCCTCCAAATTTCCCCCATAACTATCCCAGTTACTCTCTGTGCAAATGACCCTAGGCAAATCGTTTAACCTCTACTGAGTCTCTGTTTTCTCATCTAGCATTAGGGAATAATACCAGTATGGTGATTTTATAACTTGGCCCCCAATTCTTTGATACACCTCCTACTGAAAGGTGTGATTCATATCTCCTTCCCTTGAGTCTGGGCGGACCTGTGACTGCTTTAACCAACAGAGGCCAGGGATGCATCTGCATGGATGCTTCTGAGGCTGGGTCACAAAAGGCATGCGGCTTCTGCTAGAGAAATGCTCCAGGAAGCCTGAGGCCACCGTGATGGAGAGGCACATGCAAGTCTAAGTGCTTAGGTGACAGTTCCAGCTGAGCCTGGCCTTCCAGCCATCCCACCACACTGCCAGACAGGTGAGGGGGAGAAGCTGTGTTGGCAGAGGATCCGCAGCCTCGGCTGATCCAGCCCCAGCCACTCGAGGCCTCCCCAGCTGCTTCAGCCTTCTCCGGCTGCGGGCACAGATGCTGCGAAGCGGAGATAAGCAAGTCCTGCTGGACCTCATCCAAATTCCCGACTCAGAGCTTCTGTGAGCCTCACAGAATGGTGGTAGCTTTATGCTTGTAAGTTTTGGGGTGGTTTGAGAGCGGTAATGTTAACTAGGATAACCAATAGCCATAGTCACTGTGGGGCTCAGATGACCTAGAGGGTGCGTGAACGTGCTTTTTGTAAACTACAGTGGTCACAGGCAGGCAGGAATCTTTATTGTCCAACAACTGAATAATAATAGTTAACGTGTACTGAACTCTCACTGTGAGTCAGGCACTGTTTGGAGGGCTTTGTGTGTACCAACTCATCTAATCCTTCTAACAACCTGAGACAAGTATTATTATGATCCCCATTTTATAGATGAAAGGACTGAGGCACAAATGAGTTAGGTAACATGCCTAAAGTTACATAGGCTGGAAGTGGCACAGCTGGACTGCAAACCCAGGTTACTGGACTCAGTCCTAAAGTGGGGACTGAGTCTTACCGAACAGTCCTGCATTCCTGCTTCACCTTCGTTTGTTCCTATCTGCTGATGAACACATTTCCTCTTCCTGTTTCTAAAATGCAAATGTGAGTTGTTCTTTTCCTTGGGTGAGAGACATTAAAGGGGAAAAATCTAGGGTACTGACTTAGAATTTATTCTTGCCTGAAAAAAAAAAGGGGGAAAAAAAAGGGAAGTTCATGCTTTATCAGTGTTACCCATTATAAGCGTGGCCATTGCTAAAAATATCAGAGTAAAAAGGAGTAGTCAGCTTGCTGGAGGCATAACTAACCATTAAAATTATACACGTGAACCTCTGTATCAGATACTTCAAATCACAGGATAGGTACCTATCGGGAATTTTAACTGGAAAGATGGGATTTGTCTCATTCAAGAATGGTCTCTCATTTCTTTTCCACCTTCATTCTGTCCTTTGACTATCTCCTGACTGGTCTGTTCATTCTACTGGCCTGCTCAAAAACCCTCAAAGTGTCCATAGTATGCATAGAATCAAATCGAGACTCATGGGTTTGGTATTATCAAGATGGCAAAATGCCCCGCTCCATCCCCTACTCATTCAATACGCCATGTGTGCCATGTTACCTTCACCTCCCTGACCTTGTCCATGTGTACTTTCTAAGGCTTTGTGCCCTCCAGCCCCTCCCCCTCCATCTCCACTCTCCAAGTTCCAGCTCAGGGGCCAGATCCTCAAGAAAGTCCTACCAGATTTGCCTCATTCTGAATCTGAACCAATCTCTCCTTGCCTGTGTTTCAAAACCCGTGATAACTCCATTAGAGCATTTGTCCCAATCTGCTGCTTCTCTAACTAGCAGTGTGTGTGTCATCTACTGGACAATGTTTCTTCCTTAGGCCATAAGCTCCTTCAGGATATACACTAAGATAGGGTACCCTCCGGATAACAGGAGGCCAAATACGTGCCTGATGAACTGAACTAAAATGAACAAACATCCATAGTTGATACAATAGATGATATTAAAACCAGACACTAAAACCTTTATTTTTTGATAAAATACAATGTATTTAAGTTAAAATTTAAACTCTACATCAGTGGTTCTAAAATAATCCTTCTTTGGAACAACTGCAACTGTATTTTGTAGCTTAAATTAGATTATGTTGTTAGAATGTGCTCAATTTAAAGGGTTTTTCCTCAACACATTGTTCTAAAACTTATGGCACCTGTTCTCACTTTCCTGCTAACATGTGCTTACAGATGACAAAAGACTAGTATAACAGCACTCTTGGAGAAGTGATTTCTTAAAATTATTTTCTGTAATTGGATAATTTCTATAGTGTGGAGCTTAGAATATATATAATAGAGCCATATTTCTGCCACTAAGAGATTAGTTCATATAATGGGATTAAATAAATGAACATTTTATGATGCTTCACAGAGGGCCATACCCTCTGTGTGAAAATCAGCCATTGGTCTACATTTCATAAGGTCAGTTTGAGGATATCCACTCTGTGAGCACTAGGGAATAGAGATATTAAATCCTAACTATAATATTCAAGACAATACACTTACATAATCTATTAGAAATATTTTGTAATTCACAATCAGCCTTTCTGATCTCCTCAAATGCCTAGAGAGATCTATCAGACAAATGAAGGAAGTTGTTCTTTCTTGGGTACAGACTGAAATAGGAATCAGAAATCGCATAACATCAGAAACCAGCTGTGCTCATGACACACAGACCTGAGGTCCATCTTCTCTCAAAAAGGTTGCCCTTTAAGAGACCCATCTCCCTGTACCCCTCTAGGCCTCCGAAGGGTGGGGGTTGGCTCCCAGTGAAGCCAGTCTTGAGACGTGGACAATATGGTCACTCCTTCCCACCACAGCACTTTGTACAGGTCTCTCTTTGGCATTTATAACAACAATAATAGCCATTATTATTATCATTATTATCATCATCAGCATCATCATCACAGCTACAATTTGCTATATCTTCTCCAGGAGCCAGGCATAATTTCACCACACTATTGTGATTTCCCCTCCTAAATGGCAAGCTCTCTGAGGGGCAATAGCTATGTTCTACTTAACCTCCATTTCCCCAGAATCTAAGCATAGAACATGGCCCAGAGTAAGAGCTCCATAGCTAGTGGGTGACAAATGGATATCCATATGCAAAGGAATGAAGCTGGATGCCTACCTCGCACTGTACACAAAAGTTAACTCAAAATGGATCAAATGCCTAAATGTATGAGTGAAAACTATAAAACTCTTAGAAGAAAACGTAGGAGTAAATCTTTGTGACCTTGGAGTAGAAAATATTTTTTTATATTTTCTATATTTATATTTTATATATTATATTTATAAGACACCACAAGCACAAGCAACCAAGAAAAAAATAGATCAACTGGACTTTAGAATGCTTTGAGAACGTATTTAACGGACTACCAGCAAATCCTATATCTGATAGGGAGCTTGTATCCAGAATATATAAAGAAAATTTACAACTCATAAAAACACAACTCAATTAAAAAGTGGGCAAAAAATGGAACTAGACAGTTATTGAGGAAGATATACAAGTGGCCAATAAGCACACGAAGAGATGCTTAGCATCTTCATCATTAGGGGAATGCAAATCAGAACCCTAAGGAGATACCACATCACACCCACCAGAACAGCAATAATAAAAAAGTTAGTAACAAACGTTGATATGAATGTGGATAAACTGGAACCCTTAGACATTGTTGGTGGGATTATAAAATGAGTTACCTGCTTTGGAAAAGTTTTGTAGTTTCTCAAAATATTAAACGTAATTTATCATATGATTCAGCAATTCTACCGAATCCATATATGGGTGTATACCCATACTTCGGTAAACCCCATGCAAACTGAAAGCATATGTCCTCCCCAAAATGTGTACAGAAAGGTTCATATTTTTTTTTTAGGTTCATATTATTCTTAATAGCTAAACCATCAAAACAATCCAAAAGGGCATCAACTGATGAAAGGATGAATAATATGTGGTATATCCAGACAATGCAATATTATCTGGCCATAAAAAGGGAATGAAGTAGGGGTACATGTTACAACATAGACAAACTCTGAAAACATTATACTGAATGAAAGAAGCTAGACCCAAGAAGACACACCTTGTATGATTCCATTTACATGAAATGTCTAGAATAGGCTAATCTATACAGAAAGAAAGTAGATTAGTGATTGCCAGGAGCTAGGGGAAGAAAGGGATGGGGA